GGGGGAGGAGGAGGGAGAGGAGGAGCAGGAGGAGGAGAAGGAAAAAGAGGAGGAAGAGGAGGAGGGGGAGGAGGAGGAGAGGAAAGAGAGAGACAACCAATCCATGAGAGAGACACATGGATTGGTTGGTCAATTTTGTTTATCTTTTCAAAGAACCAGCTCTTGATTTCAATGATTTTTTTGGTAATTTTTTTAGACTTTATTTTTTCTGCTTTCCTTCCTTCTATTTACTTTGCACTTTGCTTGTTCTTTTTCCAGTTTCTTTAAGTGTAAAGTTAGACTGTTTTATTTTAATTATTTTAAAAATATAATTTAATTGATTCCAGAGAAAAGGAGAGGAAAATAGAAATATCAATGATGAGCCCTAACCAGTTTGGCTCAGTGGATAGAGCATCAGCCTGCGGATTCAGGGGTCCCGGGTTTGATTTCGATCAAGCGCAAGTACCTTGGTTGCGGGATATATTTAAAAATAAAAGAAATATCAATGATGAGAATCAATGATTGGCTGCCTCCTGCATGCCCCACACTGGAGATTGAGCCCGAAACTCGGGTATGTGCCCTGACTGGGAATTGAACTGTGACCTCCTGGTTCACAGGTCGACACTCAACCACTAAGCCAGACAAGTTATATTGTTTTAGATTTTTATTGTTCCTTGAGATATAATGATATGAATTTCTCTCATAGGACTACTTTTGCTATGTCCCATAGATTTTGGGTTGCTGTGTTCTCATTTTCATTTGTTTCAAGGTATCTTTTGATTTCTTCCTTGATCTCATTGTTAACCCATTCACTCTTTAGTAACATGGTATTTAACCTACATGTCTTTGTGTGTTTTTCAGTGTTGATGTTGTTTTTTTGTGATTGATTTCTAATTTCATACCATTATGGTCAGAGAAGATGCTTGATATGATTTCAATTTTCTTAAATTTATTGAGACTTGTTTTGTGTACTAACATGTGGTCTATCCTGGAAAACTGTTCAATGTGCACTTGAGAAGAATGCATTTTCTGCTTCTTTGGGGTGAAATTAATTAAATTAATCTGATCTAGTATGTCTTTTATGGCCGCTTTTTCCTTGTTGATTCTGTCTGGGAAATCTATCCATTGATGTCAATGGGGCATTAAAATCTCCTACTATGACTGTATTACTGTAAATCTCTCCCATTATGTCCATCAAGATTTCATTTACACATTTAGGGGCTGCTATGTTGGGTGCATGAATGTTCACAAGGGCTATGTCCCCTTATTGGATTGCTCCTTTTATTATTATGTAGTGTCGTTCTTTGTCTCTTACTATAGCCTTTGTTTTAAAGTCTACTTTGTCAGAAATACGCATTGCTACCCGAGCTTTTGTTTTTCATTTCCATGCGCAATAGCCAAGGAAGAATGTACATAATATGTAGGGTTGTACCTTGAGTACTATCTTACTCTACAAGTACCATTACACATAAAAAACAACACAAAATAGAAATTTAATGATATGTTAGAATAAGGTTTTTGAAAATAATATAGACAGTGAAAACTACCTAATTAAAATTTTTCATGGTTAATACTTCTCCATTCTAGAAAGGAAATGTAATTTATTTAGCACCTTTCCAAAAATGCAAAATATAAAATGAAGCTAACAAAATGATACCATCTCAGTAGCTGGGTGCCTTTCTTCTCTCTATTGTTGCACCATTCTGCTGTATATTTATTAGCAATACTATCTATGATGCTTTGACAATCTGTACCCCTGATAGGAAAAACTACTTTATAAATGCCAGAACCCAAAATCTCCTTGACAAATTCAAACCTGGGTACAAGTCAAAAACTGTTTAAGTAACATAAACATATCCCATGAGAAATTTCTTGAGCCATAGCTAGCTGAGAAATTCATAACTAACTTTTCTATATTTAAAAGTTAAGATATACACATAACACATGTTGCAGACAACTACTATCATACCTATGGTGGACACTGATAAAAGCACAAAATTTTTTCCCAAATTCTGATTGTATCCTTCTAAATACAAAATCAACAGATCAGAGTTGACATATAATAGAAAAAATACATCCCTGCTATAGATATGCTAAAGTAAATGTAAAAATGACTGCATATCCACACTACAATTCATCCCGGTTCTGACCAGGTAGCTCAGTTGGTTAGACATCATCCTAATACACCAAGATTGCAGGTTTGACACTGGTCAGGGCACATAAAAGAATCAACCAATTCCTGGCTGCTGTGGCTCAGTGGTGTCAACCTATAAACCAAGAGGTCTTTAGTTTGATTCTCAGTTAAGGCACATGCCCAGGATGCAGGCTCGATTTCTGGTGGGGGTGTGCAAGAGGTAATTGGTAGTTGTCTCTCTCATCAATGTTTCTATCTATCCCTCTCCCTTCCTCTCTCTCTCTTAAAAAAAATCAATATGTAAAAACATATTAAGTAAAAGAATCAACCAATGAATGCATAAATAAGTGGGGCAACAAATTGATGCTTCTCTCTCTCTCTCTCCCTTCTTCTCTAAAAATCAATAAAAAAAACCTATAATTAATCCTTGTTATTAAAAAAAACTTATGTGGATATAAAAAATAAACAAACTTCCAAACTGTTTTCTCTCCTAATTATATCCCAAGTAAATATCTAATTAAGAAACTGGCCCTGGATGGCATTGGTCATTGGTTAGAGCATCAGTCTTTGCACTGGAAAGTCATGGGTTCAATTCCTAGTCAAGGGCATGTATCTGAGTTGCAGGTTCAATCCCCAAACCCAGTTGAAGTGCATGAGGGAGGCAACAAATCGTTGTCTCTCTCACATCAATGTTTCTCTCATCCCACTTGTCTCTCTCCCCTCACCCTTCCACTCTCTCTGAAAATCAATGGAAAAAATATCCTCAGGTGAGGGAACAAAAAAAAAAAAAGAGAGAGAGAGAGAGAGAGAGAGAGAGAGAAGAAGAAGAAGAAGAAGAAGAAGAAAAAGAAACTGTCCCATACATAGACTTCAACCAGTAACACTTTTTTGTTAAATATATTTTTATTGATTTCAGAGAGGAAGACAGAGAAACATCAATGATGAGAGAGAATTATTGACCGGCTGCCTCCCACATGCCCCCTATTGAGAATCGAGCCCACAACCCAGGCATGTGTCCTGACTGGGAATCGAACCATGACATCCTGGTTCATAGGTTGACACTCAACCACTGAGCCACAATGGCCAGGCAGCCAATAACACTTTTAATAGTCAATTACTACCAAATCTTGGTATACCTTACTCTAGCTTTCTTGTTGACCTGAATTGCATTAACTAAATTCTCAATCAATGTTTTGGCATGGCCTCGCTCCCTCTGAGAGCTCTAGGAGAAGAAGAAGAAGAAGAAGAAGAAGAAAAAGAAACTGTCCCATACATAGACTTCAACCAGTAACACTTTTTTGTTAAATATATTTTTATTGATTTCAGAGAGGAAGACAGAGAAACATCAATGATGAGAGAGAATTATTGACCGGCTGCCTCCCACATGCCCCCTATTGAGAATCGAGCCCACAACCCAGGCATGTGTCCTGACTGGGAATCGAACCATGACATCCTGGTTCATAGGTTGACACTCAACCACTGAGCCACAATGGCCAGGCAGCCAATAACACTTTTAATAGTCAATTACTACCAAATCTTGGTATACCTTACTCTAGCTTTCTTGTTGACCTGAATTGCATTAACTAAATTCTCAATCAATGTTTTGGCATGGCCTCGCTCCCTCTGAGAGCTCTAGGTGAGAACTTCCTTGCTTTTCTAACTTCTGTTGTAAGCTATCAATTCTTGGCATTTTTTATTTGTAGATGCATCTCCAGTCACATGATCATCCTCTCACTTTGTGTCTTCGGGTCATTTTCCCTCTATAAATGTGCCTCTCTCTTTGTCTAAATTTTCTCTCTTTATAAAGAGATTGAATTAGGGTCTACCCTAATGCCCTCTTTTTAACTTGATTGCATTGTAAAGACCCTATTTCCAAGTAAAGTCACATTTGAAGATATTGGTGGTTAGGACTTCACTGTATCTTGCAGGGAAGGACACAATTCAACCTATAATATCATCTATTATCAAAAATTATTTTAAGGAACTACCAGCTGACATCCCAATCAAGTCTTCTCTTCAATTGCTGAAATACAGATTTAAAAACTACCCAACCTACAAAATAATTTGATACTTGGTTATGAGAATAATTCATGTACAAATTTATAACAGTATTTTAAGTTATTTAATTTTCTCCTTTATTTTTATTTAATAGTTTTCCTGGATATAGAAATTTTGGTTAAGTTTTTCTTTTATTATTTTCAATACTAGTGGCCTGGTGCACGTGGGATTGGGCCTAAACTGGCAGTCGGACATCCCTCTCGCAATCTGGGACCGCTGGCTCCTAACCACTCACTTGCCTGCCTGCCTGATCACCCCTAACTGCCTCTGCCTGCCTGCCTGATCACCCCTAACTGCCTCTGCCTGCCTGCCTGATCACCCCTAACTGCCTCTGCCTGCCTGCCTGATCACCCCTAACTGCCTCTGCCTGCCTGCCTGATCACCCCTAACTGCCTCTGCCTGCCTGCCTGATCACCCCTAACTGCCTCTGCCTGCCTGCCTGATCACCCCTAACTGCCTCTGCCTGCCTGCCTGATCACCCCTAACTGCCTCTGCCTGCCTGCCTGATTGCCCCTAATTGCCTCTGCCTGCCGACCTGATCTAGCCCCAACTGCCTCTGCCTGCCTGATCACCCCTAACTGCCCTCCCCTGCCAGCCTGATCTTGCCCCCAACTGCCTTCCCCTGCTGGCCCGGTTGCCCCCAACTACCCTCCCCTGCCAGCCTGGTCTTGCCCCCAACTGCCCTCCCCTGCCTGCCTGATAGCCCCTAATGGTTCTCCCCTGCCGGCCTGATCTCGCCCCAACTGCCTCTGCCTGCCTGATCACCCCTAACTGCCCTCCCCTGCCAGCCTGATCTCGCCCCCAATGGCCCTCCCCTCCCGACCTGATCTCACCCCCAACAGCCCTCCCCTGCAAGTCTGATCTTGCCCCCAACTGCCCTCCCCTGCTAGCCAATTTGGTTCTAATTGGTCGGTTTCTATGCCAGTCAGCATCAAAAGCTCTGCCTCTAGGCAGCCATTGGCTCCTCACAGTTCACCCAGATTTGGTTCTGATTGGTTGGTTTCTATTCTAGTCAGCTTCTCCAGGCATATCTCCGAGTCTGATCAGAGAGGCGGGGCGGATCAGCAGCCCCCGCGGAGGCCCGCAGAGAAACAGAGGCACGGCTGCTGACAAAGCCCGGAGAGAAAGAGAGAGGCAATGGCTGATCAATAGCTGCCTCTCTCTCCGGGCCTTTCTCCGGACCTGATCCGCAGCCCCCTTGGCAGTCAGTGCTGGGTCGCCACACCAGCACCGCAGCAGTCAGTGCTGGGTCGCCACAGCAACCCAGCACTGACTGCAAGACTGACTTACGGTGTTTGCTCGGTCATTACGGACCCTGAGTTTTTATATATTAGGATATCATCCCACTGCTTTCATGCTTCCATAGTTTCTAGTGAGAAATTGGCTGTTTATCTTATTGAGATTCCCTGTTCTTGATGAGTTGTTTCTTTTTCACTGCTTTCAAGATTTTTCTCTTTGTCTTGAGCTTTCAACAACTTGATTATAATGTGTCTTGCTGTGTCTCTCTTTGAGTTTATCCTCCTGGAGTCCATAATATACATGAATTTATTGCAATATATTTTTTCCAAACAGCAAATCAAAACTAAACAAAATCACTTTAGACAAAATTTGAGAAAAGATGAAGATGTGGGAAAGGGTAGAAAAGGGCAGATAACTATGTTTTTGATGCATCAACTTTTAGAATATTATTTCCACTGAGTGTCTTCTATTTAATTTGATAGTTTTTATCAAAACATTCCCAAAGATGTTATTCAAACATTATAAATTAAAATCAAATGAAAGTTTTAAGTAAGTTATTTTTCAAACAACCCAAATTTTCCATGAGTTAATTGTAAATCTTAATGAAAGCCTGCTAGAGTTATAACATCTATCCATAATACACTGAACAAAGCCAGTGATGGTTATGAGAAAGAACAAAAAAATCATCAAGGCTATTAAAGGAAGAAAAGATTAACTTTGTGTTGGTTCTTTAGCCTTACCAGTTCTCTATAGACAGCTTCATGTTTCCCCTCTGATTTGGTTGGCTTTTCTTTCTGTAAAATTTCTCTATTTCGGTTACCAGCAGCACTCATATTGAGATTACTTCTTGCACTACCACCACCTCCTCCAAATGTCTTGGTCTTTAGGTAAGAGAAAGATAACAGAGATGTAGGTTAATAGCATTTGAAAATAGTCCTAAAGACTAAGCTACAACTAAAAGTATCTAGTAAAACTGAAATAGTTTTCATTGTTTTACATAAAAAAATCAAATGTTAGCTAGTCCTTTTTAAATAAATATCTACTAGCCATAACTTCTTTTTTTCCATAAGTCCAGGCAAGGCAATAAAATAATTACATAGCTATAATCTTTAAGTCTCCAAGGCAAGTCATCAGAATAGACTTTAGATAATAATATAGTAGAAAATAATAAGCACTATGGAGATTAGATGTCAAAAATAATTCTAGGGTAAAATACTTGACTAATATCATACAGCCTGGGTTAGAGGGCAAGACTATCTACTTATATAAAAACCCTGGGTGTAACATCACGTCCAGAAGCACGACCAAGCGGAAGGAAATCAGTCCTGCAGGTGTCGTCTTGGAAACGGCTGTGCCCTCCCCCAGCTGTTTCCCAGAGGGCGAGGTTTCAGGCAGGACCCCGCCCTCAGGGCGAGGTGTCAGGCAGGAACCCACCCTCGGAGCAGAGCGTGGAAGTACTGAGTCCCGCCTTCAAACCAGACCCTGACAGTAGGGAGGAGGGAGCCCCATTCCTCACAGAATCTGCTGTTGGATAGCTTTCTGTCAGTGGCCTGCCAGCCAGGAACCCCATTCGCCTACACCCCGGACCCTGACAGGAGGGAGAAGGGAGTCCCATTCTTCACGGAATCGACAGGTGGCCAGCTTGCTGTCAGGGGCCTGCCAGCTAGGAATCCTATTTACCTGCATTTCTTTATAAAGTTTTAATACATTATATTAGAGGTTGTGGTGGTACTGTTTTACCCACAGCATCTACAGGAATTGCTGCAAATTTACTTCTCGGTGGAAGCACCTTTCATTCCTTATATAAATTACCGATTCCATTAAATGAAACTTCAATTTCTAGACTCAATATAAAGAGTGAAGTTGCTAAAACTATT